CACATGGGGAAAGTCTGCATTCTGAAAAGAGCATGCTGCTTTTAAATCCTTTAAATCACATTGAGACTCATATCCAATGCCCACGTGCCCTGATGCAGTCATTGGGATGCGGCCCAAGTGGACAGCTTTGTAATACCATTTCCCTCACAAGCAACTCAAGTCTTAACACCTACCGTGCTCTCCACCTGCTCATATATTCTATTCATGATAAAGAAATGTGGAATTACGAGTTACTGCTCTAACCCTGGAAATCCCCTTAAACTCTCAATAGTGCATCTGAATTGAATTCAACTGCTACACCAATAGGCATACAGATTAGTAGCATTATCCTTAGAGTCATTACTTGTTCAGGAAAGATAAAAGTACTCCAACAGTAAAAATTAGTGATAGCAGAGGACAGTGGAGAAAAAAGCCTCTTTTATCTTTCTACACGTGGATAATGGTTCCTGGAATACCTTTGGAATTAGTGAGATCAAGTGGAAAGCCTTGCTCTACCACTTGTGTGGCCCCATTCACAAGTTAACCTCTACAACTCCCCTTACTTGTAAGATGCGTGTAAGAGTTGTGTGGAAATACAGGAAGACCAACCAAATGGGAACAAGTGGGGGCTATTCATTCTGAGCCTGCAAGAACAAGGGAGGCATCACCCTCACTTGTACTTTGGCACAGACTCCAAAGCAAAGAAGCTAGAAAGCTTCCTAGGGGAGAAATGGAAGGCTTCGGGGCTGCCCTGTTGGAGATTATTGGCGTGGAGAAGCTACAGGTAGGCATGTTAACTACAAGTGGGGCATCCCATGTGATTGGTTAGTGGTAGATATGTGGCTTTCTCTGGTGCTAAATTGAAAATAGGGACAAAAATTAGGGAAGCTGTCAGTTGTTAATCAAGTCCTGGCTGTTTTGGGCTGAATGTTACAGTAGCTATGGGTTGTTTGGATTGTCCTTAGAAGTAGCAATTTGACTTCCAGACAATCGGATTTACAGCTGGCTGGCTTCCTGAGTTGTGTATTGTAGATAAGAGGTTGGGTTCTTGAGCAGATTGCTGCAGGTTGTGGGTCAAAGCTCTTTTTTTCTACAAGGTCTGGCCATTGCTCACGTGTATATTCAGTCTCTCAGTTGGACCCATGAAAAGCATCCATCACAGTGCTATCATTTGGTGGGTGCTCAATAAATAAAGTACAGTGTCAGCAAGTGTTTGAAACCACTGCTCTCTGGCACCTTTTTCTTGATGTCTGTGCTGGAGTTTGTTTCAGAACTGGGTAGACATAGGAAAGCCAGATTATGTTGGTATAACTAGGTCCTTTTCTGTGGAATTATGTCAGAGTTGGAATGGTACATCAGTTGTAAGAAAAACACCTGTGAATTCCTTAGAGTCTGAAATTGCCCATCCTGTTAATTTCACTTTCAGGAACTGTCTAAGCCCAAAAGAAACTGCTGGGTCCTAACAGGTCTCTCCATTCATCCCGAGTTTAGGAAGTATTCTGGGGATACCAATAGAGCATCAGCCTGAAGACTGAAAGGTCCCAGGTTCGATTCCAGTCAAGGGCATGTACGTTGGTTGCGGGCACATCCCCAGTAAGAAGTGTGCAAGAGGCAGCTGATCAATGTTTCTCTCTCATTGATGTTTCTAACTCTCTATCTCTCTTCCTTCCTCTCTATAAAAAGTAAATAAAATATATTAAACACACACACACACACACACACACACACACACACAAGGCAAGTCCTGGCCTAGTCAGCAGTTCGAAACATATGTCTCCTTCTGAAGTTGCATATCCTCCACAAAGGACTCTAAAATTATTTTAATGTTTAAAGTAAGTCTTTTAATGAGTTAATTACATTAGGAGTTAACAATTGCTGGACCTTGCAAAGCTATGCCATATGGAACGGGTTTGAGGGAACCAGTTTTTATAGAGGAGCTTCTGGGACCAGCAAACACGCCTTAGCCTGAGAGTAGAAGCAAGAAACAGAGGAACCATCTCTGAAGCAGCTTTGATCTGAGGATGGACATTCTCTCTGACCTTTTTCAGAATCGGTTGCCTTGACTAGAGTCACGGTCACCGTGGTCACCAGGTCTTGACGACCGGGCGGTCAGTGCCAGGAGATACGGCTGTATGTTTTGTTTTCCTCTCAGAGCACTCTGTGTACCCTGCTATGGTTTCTGTTGTGTTTGAGAAGTATCTGGACTATGAACAGAGCAGGCAAATTCCATTCTTTGAGGACATGTCAAGCCTTCCTTTGTCCCATAAGAAATAAGCTTGGGAGAGGTATGTTTCCTGCTCTCTAAAATTCTTCATCACAATTGTAAAACTGTGTTTGGAATCAAAATGCCTTAACAGTATATTTGCATTTTTAGAAAATGTGACTCCACTAAAGCATATGAGATTACAAACAATGATATTAGCAGAAGAAATAAGGTTGGGAAGTCCCTCTATCCAAACTGTTTTCCTTCCTTAATTTCTCTGCCACAAGCCATGCTCACTTGTGCCAAATGTTAAAGTGGAGAAGTGTGGTGCCTACACATTTTCATATAGAAAAGAACTGGCAAGAAGTCTGCTCCTTTAGTCGAGTTGTGTTTGGTGATAACACTGTATTTGCTTTGATGATTGATTGAGTTATAAATTGTTTCCTCCTATTTCCAAAAGAGGGTATAGAAAATGCTTCAGACAGAACATTTAAAGTAAATGTCAAAAGGAAAAGCAAGAACCATTAAGAGGAAAAAATGTGGAACTAGTGACTATATTAATAGCTAATACTTAATAATAGTATGTATTTAATATATTCTATGTGACATATTTTTAAGATTCTTACATGTGTTCACTCATAGAATTCTTACCACAGCACTATTAAGTGGAGTCTTCTGTTGCCCCCAGTTTATTGCAGTGTAGAGATTAATAACTTGCCTGGGGTCACACAGCTAATAAGTGATAGACTGGGATTTGATTTCAGGCAGTCTCTCTTAGAACCTGTGACCTAACCTAGGATGTTATTGAAACTCGTGACACCACTTTTCTGAGCGTCAAGGCAGGCAAGGCAAGAATAGTCTGTATTTTTCCAAAGTGCTCAATTATTGAGAAAATGGTTGAATAGCTTATAATATGAATAGTGTTATATAATATAACAAAAAATAATTGATGTCTTATACAAGGTCCAAATGTGTTTCTCAAAATAATATTTCTCACATCAACCCTCAATTAAAGGGGTTTAAATAGCAGCTCAATAAGCCTAGCAAATGTGATATGAAATCCAGATTTCCTAAAGCGAATAGTATTGATGTGATTTCTGTCATCCATCCCAGTTTTATCTACATTTGTAACAGTCTTGTTTATTTATGTGCTTATCTTTGTATCCCTGGCCTCTTCTGCTGGAGGGAAAACATGGCAGGTACTCAAAATTATTTGTTGCATAATTTCATGAATGAATGAATCTTCCAAAGGCAAAGAGTCCTGCTCAAGAACAGAGGCACAAGATCCTCCGAGTATAAATCATGACTATAAATTATAATGTGCACATTATAACTATGAAAGGTCATTGTTCCTGAGGTGTTACTGTCAGAGTGACCTTGACTGAAGCTGAAGAGGCTGGGTGTGGACTCTTGGACTTGTTGCAATTCTCCTTTATAACCCCTATGCCAAGGCCAGTCCCTGGAGTTGTGTTATGCAAGATCCACACCAGCCCTGTCCAAGCAGACAGGATCTGTTGCAGCTTGAAGAGTCAGTGGACAGAAAGGAAGTCTGCTCCCCTAGAGCCAACACCGCCTTCACTCAAAGCTCAGACGCTGCTTCCAATCAACAGTCTTTTACTACCTGGGGCTTAAAGACAAACACTCCTGCTGCATTTCTACCACATGGGATTATTCGTCTGGAGTGCCAGCATCCAAGTGCGGCAGCTGGCTCCCATCACCCTCTCCCCAGGCTGTGGAAACAGGGCTTACCCAGACTCTGTCTGTGGCCTCCCTGTGCAACCTTCTCCACCCTTGCTCCTTTGCCATGTTTCAACCCTGTGAGCAGCATATGAAGGAAAGGATGACACTCAACCCATTTTCAGTTCAAGGAAGAGAAGATCTCAATTCAGAAATGACTGAGTAGGACAGGGTCAGTCAGCACAAGTGAAACCAGAAGTTATTTGCTCCAGTAATATCTCTAAATACAACTCCAAAGAGCTCTAGCCAGTGTTTCTCAGTGGTCAGAGCGTCACCCCATGCACCTAAGGGTCGAGAGTTCGATTTCTGGTCAGGGTACATACCCAGGTTGCAGGGTCGATCCTCAGTTAGGCGTGTCAAAGAGGCAGCCGTCTGATGCTTCTCTCTCACAGCTATGTTTCTTTCTCCTTCTAGAATCAATGAAAAATATGTCCTTGAGTGAGGATTTAGGAAAAAAAAAAAAAAACTGCAATGAAATAATAATTACATCCTAATTTTAAAAGTTTTATAGCTGTTCTAAGTTTTGGGTTAACAGGTTATAGAGCCACTCCTCGCCTTATTATTTACATTCTTGCAACCCTGAACTCCTTTTATTTCCCCCCGATCAGCATGCTACACCACAACCTGGACCTTTGTTCTTTCTCTTTCTTTATTTGGCTTGGAACACACTTACCACAGCCCTTCTCTGTCTTCAACTTTCACCTCAGGTGTCGCATTCCTGAAATTTCCAGGTCCTGCTATGCACCCCTCCACTGTGCCCCTTTGTGTCAGCACTTACCATGTTATATACTGCATAACAGTCTCTACGTGTCTGTCCCCTGCATTCAACTATGAGCAATTCCTTGAGAGCAGGAACCATGTTTCACTCATTTCTTGCCCACACTTCCCAGCATAAAGCCTGGCATGCACAGTGAGCGGAATAAATATTGATTGCCACAAATCATGTTGTCAATAAGCCCTGATGACTATCACTCTAACCTTTCCCCACATTCAAAATTCTGAGAGCACCAAGAACCGTTTAGATGACTGCACATTAGAATTTCCAGGGATGTCATCTTCTGTTATTTCTCTTCCTTTCCAGGAACCTCTTTCTGGGGCCGCGAGAGACCAAGGGAAGAATCATGTCCACGATCGCAGCTTTCTACGGTGGCAAGTCCATTCTCATCACCGGGGCCACGGGCTTCCTGGGGAAAGTCTTGATGGAAAAGCTGTTTCGCACCAGCCCGGACCTGAAAGTCATTTATATCCTTGTGAGGCCCAAGGCCGGCCAGACACTGCAGCAGAGGGTCGTCCAGATCTTAAATAGTAAGGTATGCCTCCTGGGGAGAGACTTAGGGCAAGGCAACTCCCTACAGTGTCGTATTATGGCCTCAAATGTCAGGTGAAGGTCAGGTCTTGGGGGCAGAAGGAGGAGAGGATGCCAACAAGATAGCCACCCACTGCTCCTGGGAATGGATAGGTCGTGGTGCTTTCCAATAAGAGAGAAAAGCGTGCTTAGGCTCTGTCCCAGGCAAGTGATCAGGGAGCCTCCATGTGGGAAAGGAACGTTTGAGGGAGCAAAGGGACCAGGTGCTGCGAGGCTCTGGATCCAGGGCCTGTTAAGAATGACATGGATAACATTGAGGGCAGCTTGCTCAAGAGGCAGAACTAATGAGGAGCTGTCACTGGCCCAGAGCTCTCTTGTACATTCCATAAGCCAGGGGGAGTCAAGACTCAGGGTTCATTCTGGAGTCAAAATGTTATATTCGCTTCAAGGAGTCACCTTTGTGACAAACACTATGGGGAGAATGAATGAAAAAGAAATACAGGTTAATGTAAAGGGAGAACTGTCTCCTCTGAGCCCAGAAGAAAGGATTAATGTGAGCCAGGAGAGAACGGCATGGATTGCCGAGGGAGCTTTCCTCCAGCCTGTAGAATATGTGTCATGTGCAGGCATTTCAAGGTTTTTTTTCTAGTAATTAGAGAACTTCTTCAAAGTAGCTGTTACCTATTTATGGTGAAATCATTGCAGCGCAGACTGGCAATTTTGCAAAGGATTCACAACAAGGGGGGCTGGTTGTGACTGTGGGTTTCAGACTCGTCTATGATTCAGGAGTTTGTAGTCTTTCTATCACAGTCTTCTCGGTACCTACCTTAGCGGAAAAGGGATTCGGGTGGGTAGTGCTTATATTTTTGGTTTGGGGTTGATATTTTGATTTTGTCACTTATGAGATATTCTCTAAACCAGTGGTTTGAAAAGAAGGCCAGGCATCTCACATACCTTCCCTGATGAGTTCTTAATCAGTAAGGCCTTGAGAAGTTGTACTTTGGGGCACTGTGATTGTGTTAAAAACTACCAACAAAACTGAAAGCATTCTTCAGTCTGGAGAAAGCACCAGGGTTTGTTAGTTTATGAAAACCACGTTTTTTAGCAAGGATGAAAATTATTAACATAATTGTCTCCAGTTTAGTTTTATTCTTCCTTTTGACATGTCACTGATCCCTGAGAAATCCAGAAAGCTTGGAGCGATACAGAGGAAAATAAGGCTGGGTGAAAGCTTACAATTGCTTAATGCGGAGAGGTTTGGTTTGAGGAAGGACCCAGAGAAGTTCTACTAGTAACAGGTTAGATCCCTTGTGAGTCCGCTTGAGGCGGGGCATGTTAGGGCCTTCGGGGCTGGTGAGAGGAAAGGAAATCTGGCCTGGAAGGGTCAGATGCTGAGGAGTAACCTGCAGCTAAATGTAATAAGCATGGAATTCTCCAGTTTTCAAAGAAGTGCACAAAAGTCAAGTCTGCAAAACTAGCATCAATAGCATGATAATTATACTTACTGAGTATCGGCAAAAGGACAGATTTATTTATTTATTTATTTATTTATTTATTTATTTATTTTGTCCTCACAACAACAATCCAAGGAAGGGTTCTTTGTTTTTCTCCATTCAAGATCATATTGGATTTTCCCCCTTTTATTATTATGACATATCACGGAAAAGGCCATGTAGATGCCTGTTGCAACATAGTCTCGTCCCTGTAGCTGCCTCTTCTGATAGGTGTTGGCCTGGTGGTTGCCTCCGTTAGCTATAGTGCTGGATAGTGCCCAGCCCTGTGGTGGCTGTCTGTTGCCATAGTGACAGCCTCTCCCTCTCAGGATAGCAGAAGCCTCTGCAAATAGTGACTTCCTCTCTTGAGTGACTTCCTCTCCGATAGCAACTGCTTCTTGAGATAGTGCCCAGCTGGGAAGCTGCCTCTGGCATTAGTAGCTGCCTCCTGCAATGTAACCCAGCCTGGTAGCCGCCAACTGTGATATTGTCCAGCCCAGTGGTTGCCCGTCGGGAAAATTAGGGGATTCTAAGGCAATGTGTATTTTTTTGAAGTTTAATTTAATTTTATTGAATTTATTGGGATGGCATTGGTTAATAAAATTACATATGTCTCAGGTGTACAGTTCTATAACATATCATCTGCATATTGTATTGTGTGTTCACCACGCCATGTCTCCTTCCATCACCATTTATATCTCCTTTACCTTTCTCCCCTTCCCACCCCCCTCAAATTCCAAGTATTCAACATTGTTTTTTTTGTTTTTTTTTAATATATTTTATTGATTTTTTTTTTTTTTTAGAGAGGAAGAGAGAAGGATAGAGAGTTAGAAACATCAATGAGAGAGAATGATCAGCTGCCTCTTGCACACCCCCTACTGGGGATGTGGGGATGTGCCCGCAACCAAGGTACATGCCCTTGACCTGAATCAAACCTGGGACCTTTCAGTCCGGAGTCCAATGCTCTATCCACTGAGCCAAACCGGTTTCGGCTCAACATTGTCTTTTTAAAACATGTTTTTGTTTCTTTCACATCTGGGAAGCTTCTAAGGAAAATAAGCCAGGTTTCACTTGTTGCTATGTGAACATGCTCACCACACCCCGTGCTTTTCAACGTGTGGGTACTGAGGTTTCCTAAGTCGGCTGCTTTGTCTCTTATGAAAAATGTGTCCCTTTTATTATGAACTAATGAGCTTTCCATCTTAACCAAACCAGTGTCAGATACAGAAATTGATATTTTCTCTATTTTGCTATCTTGAATATGGCTTTGCTTAACAAAACATGATGTCCCCTGCTAGAACAAATAAGTAGTTGGAAATAAATCCTACAGTTGTGAAATTCCAAGAAGTAATGAGAGTATTTTGAGGTTCATTAGTGCCATAAAGATGTGGTTGTTTTATGTGCTTTGTTTTGTTTTCCCACAACAACCATGTTCCATGTTTGTCTACTTAGGATCTTAAACTGCCTGTAATCTACTCTGAATAACTTCATAAGAAAACACCAAGACAAAATCCATACATAAAACCCAAATTGTTGAAATTACATTAAGACTGAGGTAGTTGCCAAAGCCGGTTTGGCTCAGTGGTAGAGTGTCGGTCTGCGGACTGAAGGGTCCCAGGTTCGATTCCAGTCAGGGGCATATACATTGGTTGCAGGCACAGCCCCGGTAAGGGGTGTGCAGGAGGCAGCTGATCGATGTTTCTCTCTCATCGATGTTTCTAGTTCTCTCTCTCTCGCCCTTCCTCTCTGTAAAAAAATCAATAAAATATATTAAAAAAAAAAAAGACTGAGGTATCAGTTAATTAAGAGTAATTGCAAAACCAGCATATAAACAAAGTTTCATTGAGAGAATACTGTATTTTTCTGTGTATAAGACACTATTTTTTTCTAAAATCATTAAACTGAAAATTGAGGGGCATCTTATACACAGAAGTCAGCCAGGAAGGGAGCCATGCAGATGTGTAGCTGCCCATACCTTGTCAAACAGGCTTCCTCCAATCATGAGCCTTATTGTTATTGAGATCAACTGATGCTTTAATTGAAGTTGAAGGTGGAGGTGGTGGTGGGGGTGGGAGTGGGGGAGGAGGAGGTGAGGGTGCCAGGTGCTGGTCTGGAGTGTTCTGACCGCATAAAGATGTTTTAAAAATGAAAAGATAAATACCAGTAATCGATTATCTTACTCTGCAATGTTATCTGAATGTCATCAGCTATACAAAAGAGCATGGAAACAGAGCTGCATAGAGACCATTTGGATCTCCTCCCACTGAATGTATGGTCAGACAGTGGAGAAAACAGGAAGAACAACGCCTTAAGATACCAAAAAAAGGTCTTAAGAGGAAAACCAGCAAAATATTTAAAATATTGATTTCTTAATTTTGGGTTGGGAAAGGGTGGTGGTCTTACATATGGGAGTGTCTTATACACAGAAAAATATGGTACCAACAATGGGTGGGTCTTTTCCTAACAAATCAGAGTAATCAGACAAGGGAAGGGTCACAGAGAGATTATGCTGGGTTTGGAATGCAGCATCATAGAAGACAAGGCGCTAGTCAAGATTTCCATGAAAGACCTATCCTGCATGATGTAACCAGAAAGTGGATTCATAAACAAAGGAGGGCTTGGCAGGCTGTACTGTATAATTCAAGTCAACTTCTCTGGAAAATGTGAATTATTCAATAAGCCCTCAGTTGGCCCCTAACTAAATCAACTTTGAAATAACCTGCAGGGTCACACACTGGGCCCTCAGTTCACAGACCAATTGATTGTGTCTCAGACAATAGAAGGTGGTAAATTTTAATTAAACAGTTAATTGAGTCCTTTTGTAAGACTGTCACTGTTTGGTCATTTTCTAGAAGACATTATATAAATTAATCCTTAAGAGCAAAAAATAATGCATTTAAAGAAATTAATATTGGCCCTAACCGGTTTGGCTCAGTGGCTAGAGCGTTGGCCTGCGGACTGAAGGTCCCAGGTTAGATTCTGGTCAGGGCATATACCTTGGTTTTGAGCACATCTCCAGTAGAGTGTGTGCAATAGGCAGCTGATCAATGTTTCTCTCTCATCGATGTTTCTAACTCTCTCTCACCCTTCCTCTTTGTAAAAAATCAATAAAATATATATTTTTAAAAGAAATTAACTTTGAAGTAATAATAAAGAAAACCAACAACTTCTAATTAAAAACATTAACACTGAGCCAAATAACATCTGCAAAAAAAAGGCCAACAATCTGACCTTGTTGAGTATTAAGAAACACCCAACTGAAATGTTAATTTCTTTTTTTGTAAAGTTCTGTGTTGATTTTTAAAGACCCTTTGATAAAAAAACAAAACAAAACAAAAAATTCTCCTATTTTGTAAAAGCTGCTTATCCCTTCTTCCAAAAATAAATTTCTAATTCACTTTAATATTTCTGTTATATCTCTATATAAGGTAAAGACAACTGGAAACAAGTTTATAATATAAATCCCCAAAGCCAGTTTTGTTCCATTACTATATTTTTTCCTAAGAAACTA